TCAAGTGATTCTCGTCGATCGAAAATGCTAAACAAAGTGGCTAATATAGCCGCGGGCCATACCATCATGCCGGGTAATTTCGGTCTACGCGGTGTCCCCATAATAACAGTAATAATAATAATAATAAAAATAATATTTTTATTATTCCAGAATACCATCACAGTACGATACGGATTTCGTTAAGTCAACGACGAGAGCAGCGGATGCTAAATTAAACTCTCGTCTCATTCTCTTGGACCATAGCAAAGCCTTCGACACCTAGGATCATTTTTTTCTCCTAGCTATACGGGAATTCGTCATTTTTTAGAAATTTACTTGGTCAGAAATACTCATTCAGATGACAGCTGACTTCTCTACTTTTCTTAAATTTTTTGTTGCCAGTGAAGCTTTAAATGCTACCACTAAAATAAATTTGGATCCAAAAATAACTTTATATTGAATACTAACAAAACAGTCGAAACTCTATATAGCGGAATAAAACGGACTGCTTCTTTTTAAGAATAACAATAACAATACGCCTATGTTGTCTGTAATATTTAACTATTTTATATACATATTTTAACATCTACTTAGGAACATTTTAAATAAATGTTTAAGAACAACATTTAATGTTTGAAATAATCGGTCATTTTCTTTTAATTTTTTTTTGGCTTGTATTGTGGTACTTTCACCATAAAAAATTTCTCACGTCACTGGAAAAAAAACTTGGCTACTAACCCTCCATTTTGTTTTTTTGTCTTGTCTTTGTCTTGTTTTTGCCTTGATATCTCTAAAAACAAAAAAAGGTACAGCCAATCAAAACATTACCAAGGTAAATTGAACGCACGGCACTAAATTCAGCTCTGCCAAGGTCGGCTACAGCGTTCTGTAGCATATTTTCAGGATGGTAAGGTCTGGAGGCTACGGAAGCAAACTGCCCCTTGACATCCAACGGTTTGGTTAAGTCTAGTATGAAAAAAAGCAAACTTCGAGAGTAACAAAGGATTTTAATAACACCAGATGGGCCCGTTGTGCCCCCAGGCCGCTCTAGAGGGCGTTCAGAATGCCGCCCCTCCTGTAGAAGGTCAGCAACTCCTTTAGCCCAATACCGTGCACTGAGTCCGGATCGATCAGGGCCGTTCCGAAGACTCCCAATCTTGCCCATGTCAAGGCAGGGCTCTCGGTGAGCAGATGATACGGGGTCTCCTCCCCTTCCATGCACCACCTACACTCCGGGTCGTCTCCAATGCCTAGCAAGCAGAGATGCCTCCTAAGCCTGCAATGTCCTGTGTAGGCCCCTGTTAGTGCTCTACACTCCCTCCTGGTCAGTCTAAGCAGCTCCCTGGTGCGAGGAAGGGCGGGCCCATCCATCATAAGCCTCGCCTGCCTCATTCCCGGAGCAACTCTCCAGCCCCCCGCGGCCCAGTCTCTCGCCCAGGCTTCGAGAGCTCCCCGCCTCACACACGGGTTATTAATATGATATTGAGCAATTACTGGTGATGGTAAATAGATAAGTAGAGTTTGACCTTCAGGAAAAAATTTGATAACATTGTGCTTGCTTCCAAATAGCGCTTAGATCTGTGTTGAGAAAATTCTTCTTGTCGCTAAGCGTCTTAATCATATTTGCCAGAATTTTCTTTGGGTATTAAAAATAAACCTTGCCTTTGTTCATTTTGGTGCTAGAAAAAAGGGAATAGCAGCTTTTCATATCGTCCTTTTCACTTCTTCCATTTTTTGCCTCTGTTCGATTTTTAATAACTAAATTAAATATTATTTATGATTGCGGTTAGTGCAGGGGGTGTTTTTGGTTAGTTCCTTACAATAAAACTTTTTACAAAACAATAGACAAGAACGGATGAAATATGTGAAATGACGAAAGTTCACATACTTACGAGGTTTGCGCCAAAATTTCCCGGCCTGACATAGATGCAGGTCCTTTGTCTTCTTTTAAATATATATCTTAGCAGGCTGCGAAAAAAAAATTGAAGTGTTGCGTCAAATAGTTGTTTATTGACAGTATTTTAAACAAGACGTGTCCGAAAAAATGTCGCAAATAACGCAAATTGAGTATAGAGCAGTCATAAAGTTTTTGACAAAAGAAGGGTTAGGACCTAAAATTATTAAAAAAAGGCTGGATGGTGTGTACGGCCAAAGAATGGGCAAAACGTTTTCGAATGGGGCAGGAATCCCTTGAAGATGAGTAGAGTAGAGTAGAGGTCATAACGAAAGATATTGTTGCGATTGTGGAAGGGGTCAAGAAAATCTCAAAAATTATTAAGCTTTCTGGTACAAGTGTTCGTCGAATCCTGCATAATCATTTAAGTATACACAAGGTTTGTGCAAGATGGGTTCCTAAAAACCTTTCGGCTATTCAAAAACAACGCCGTGTCGAGTGCGCGCGGTCTTTTTTGGAACTCTGTGGGTCGGAACCGAAGCCTGTGATAGAAACTATTGTGACGGGAGATGAAATTATGGTTCTCTATTACGACCTTCTATCGAAAAAAGAATCAATGGAGTGGCGTCGTAAGCGTGAAGCACCTCTAAGAAAATTCAGAGTCTGCCAGTCAACAAAAAAGGTGATGGCCTCGATCTTTTGGGATTGTGAAGGAATTGTTTTGATTGATTTTAAAAAACTAATACCACTGTCAATGGTAAATATTATACAACATTATTACATAAATTGCGAGGCTGCATACGTGTAAAGCGTCGAGGAAAACTGACCAGAGGCGTGCGTCTTTTGCACGATAATGCATGTGCTGCATTTTAGAGTGTGGGTTCCAACAGATAGATCATCCTTCCTATAGTCCAGATACGGCCCCCAGCGACAAAGATTTCGTGATTTGGTATTTTTCATATTTTTGAAGTTAGCGGTTCGCTGGCCACCTCGCTTCCCCGACTTAAATCCGATAGATTTTTATTTATAGATGGCGGACATTTCCACCATTTGTCGCAGAGCGTAGCGTTGGTTGAAAAGAGGCGTTTTTTATTAAATCACGTGTGGCGTAGTCGCGTCGAACGGCGCATAATTTACGGCTCAATTCGGCGTTAAATTACCGTACGCGCGCGATTTTTTCCATTTACGGAACCCCTTTCGCAGCTCTCGCGTGGGCACTAGCAATTCGCGCGTAAACGAGGCGCGACCTTCATTCCCGAAGCCCATTCCGCCTTCGGAAGTTTCCTTTCACCCCTCCAAAACACGATACTTAACGTCACTGACGTGTATTGTACTGTATTCAAGTCGTTATGGACCGTGCCCCATGATATTTAATCACTTTGTGATTTCGGAACTTCTGTGCCGAGAGAAGGTATAGTTTTAAGACACGTGTGAACCCTAGGGTATGATATTTAATGTCTGTATGGACTTTAAAATTCTAAATTGAGAGATTCGGCATTATGCGAACCCTAGGGCACAATATTTAATGCCAGTGTAAGTTATTAACGTCGGAGTAGACTAACTAGTTCAGGGGAGACGTTGTCAATTTTTATAAAAATTACTTCGCACGAAGTGAAAATCATGGAAACTTAATTTAATTAAATTAATTAAAAATTAATTAAATTAAGTAAATTGATTACTTAAATTAAATTAAGCAAATGTTTTATGTTATTCATTTTGACTAATTTTATAAATAAATATATGTTTCTACTCCCTTCTCTGAGGTATGGCATGACAATTCATTAGCCCTGGTTAGATGATTAATTTATTATAAATTAATTAAATTAAGGGGAGACATTGTCAATTTTTTTAAGAGTTGCTTTGTCATGGAAATCACAGACTCTTCTTTTTTTAAATTTTAATTAAATTAAATAAATTAATTATTTAACTTAAATTAAACACATGTTTTAGTTTATTCATTTTGACTTTTTGCATAAATAAATATATTTTTCTACTCCCTTCTCTGAGGCATGGAAAGACAATTCATTAGCCCTGGTTAGATTTTTAATTTATTATACATTAATTACATTAAGGAGAGACATTGTCAATTTTTTCAAGAGTTGCTTCGTATGGAGTAAAAGTCATGGAAATCACATATTCTTCTTTTTTTTAATTTTAATTAAATTAAATAAATTAATCATTTAAATTAAATTAAACACATGTTTTTTGTTATTCATTATGACTATTTGTATAAATAAATATATGTTTCTGCTCCTTTCTCTGAGGCATAGCATGACAATTCCTTAGATCTTGTTAGATGTTTAATTTGTTATACGATAATTAAATTAAAAATCATGGAAATCGCATGCTCTCCTTTTTTTAAATTAAAATTGAATTAAAATAAGATTAATTAATTAAATTAAATTAAACAAATATATTATTCTACTTTAATTTTAATTAAATTAAATAAATTAATTATTTAAATTAAATTAAACACATGTTTTAGTTTATTCATTTTGACTTTTTGCATAAATAAATATATTTTTCTACTCCCTTCTCTGAGGCATGGCAAGACAATTCATTAACCCTGGTTAGATTTTTAATTTATTATACATTAATTACATTAAGGAGAGACATTGTCAATTTTTTCAAGAGTTGCTTCGTATGGAGTAAAAGTCATCGAAATCACATACTCTTCTTTTTTTAAATTTTAATTAAATTAAATAAATTAATTATTTAAATTAAATTAAACACATGTTTTTTGTTATTCATTATGACTATTTGTATAAATAAATATATGTTTCTGCTCCTTTCTCTGAGGCATAGCATGACAATTCCTTAGATCTTGTTAGATGTTTAATTTGTTATACGATAATTAAATTAAAAATCATGGAAATCGCATGCTCTCCTTTTGTTTAAATTTAAATTAAATTAAAATAAGATTAATTAATTAAATTAAATTAAACAAATATATTATTCTACTTTAATTTTAATTAAATTAAATAAATTAATTATTTAAATTAAATTAAACAAATGTTTTATGTTATTCATTTTGATTCCTTGTATAAATAAATATATGTTTCCACTCCCTTCTCTGAGGCATGGCGTGACAATTCATTAGCCCTTGTTAGATGTTTAATTTGTTATATGATAATTAAATTAAAATTTATGAAAATCGCGAGCTCTTCTTTTTTTAAATTTAAATTAAATTGAAATAGGATTAATTAATTAAATTAAATTAAACAAATATATTCTACTCCCTTCCCTGAGGCATGGCGTGATAATTCACGCGTGACGTGTCCTCGCGATATCGGATCCGATTTTCAAGCCGGCGCGGACGCTCGACGTCCAGCGTCGGTACGTTTGTCCACGCTACTTCCGACTGCACCGCGCTAGAAACCACTCGAAACGTCGTCAACCCCGCCGCCGACATTGAAAACGGCCGTTATTCCGGCCTTCCACCACTTTTCGATTAAACATCAATCCGTTTTCTACGCGGGGACGATCTTCAGTCCTCTCTTCAGCATCCCGGAGTGCGGCCGAGCGAAAGCGGCAGGTGCGTGCGTTCGCAGCTTTCGTCTCGATCCGTCCGCGTCGTTCAGGTCCAACCCCTGACATGATTTTGCTCGCGGAGCATGCGCAAGGCACTAGAATACTCGGCGTCGTCTTCGTCGGACGGCTGCAGCTGCTCCAACGACAGCCACTGCGCGCTGACTAGCCCCAGGTCGGACCCGGGGATGTCGTCCAAACCATCCGCCCCCCACTACCAGTCGCAGGGATGCTGGGGCAGTCAGGAGTTCTACGGGGAGAACAACAACGTGTACTCCAAGTACGACCAGTACTCCAAGTACAAGCAGGCGGGGTCGTACCCGTCGGGCCATCACCAGGACTACTACAGGAAGGAGCAGAGGAAGCAGTCGGGCTCCGCTGGGCTGGAGGTGATGAAGAAGAGGCGACTGGCGGCGAACGCGAGGGAGCGCCGCAGGATGAACAGCCTGAACGACGCGTTCGACAGGCTGAGGGACGTGGTGCCCAGTTTGGGGAACGACCGGAAGCTGAGCAAGTTCGAGACGCTGCAGATGGCGCAGACGTACATAGCCGCGCTACACGAGCTGCTTCAGCGCGACTGAGTGTGTGAGTGTTTGGTGACGCGCGCAGGTATGTCGTGGTTTTTGGGTTAGGTTTGGTCTGCCCCGAGTTCAGGTCGGGACTCGATTGGTCCGTGCAATATTAGCCGTTAAGAATATCAAGGAAAACCGTGTGCAATATAAAATGTTGATATTTTTAATATTAGTTCTAGGATCAGGCGTGTATTTGTGGGCGGGGAATTTTTGGTTAGGAAACGAGTAAACGGGTCAGTAAGAAAGTTGCCGTTTAAAAATAGATCTCCCGGCATTGGTGGCGTGAGAAGTTTCCGACTTCAAAAATGTTTTGCTTTATTTTCCAACGCCACTCGTCCACTTCTCATAACCGCGTTCTAATTCTTCTTCTTGTTCTTCCTCTTCAACCTTTCACGTGCAAGGCGTAGGGAGGTTCAATCAGTTCAGCGATGAAAGAAATTTTTTTTTCGTTCAATTTGCACCTCCTGCTTCAAACGTTGCAATAACTCTGCGTGGTATTGGCCAGTGAAAATCTTTTCAATGCATATAACCTTGTTTGCCGATAAGTCTTCTTCGGAGTTGGTTCCCCTTTTGCGACCCACTGTTTTGACTGTTCCTTATTTGCAGGAGCGTAGTGATGCACCTTGCATGCAGCTTTCTTATACTATATATGTCGCACGCGTTCAGCTGTCATCTCACAGGTCTCAGCTATCTCACGACTTCCAACACAATCATTTTTGAAGTTGAAGTGAATTCTCGTCAATACGATGGGAAGACTCACCCAGTCTCTTCTTTAATTTGTTTCGGTGTGAAACCTTTCAAATCTTGGTCAACCAGTGGCGTTCGCGGAACTAGTTTAATTAATTTAAATAATAAAAAAAAGCGACACGCCAGTGGTCCGTGGCGATTTTACTAACAAACGACGACCACGTACCGCGGACGCCACTGATTATTTTATCCGTGCTACAAAAGCGGCGTCCCAAATCTAGAAGGGATTTTTTTTTAAATACGAACTTTTTTGCTTGTTTGTAGCTAAAGAATCCGTCATAAAGAATCTACTCAGACTGTAGTTTAACGACCATTAAAAAGGCCTTAAAACACTTATCGTTTTCTCGTGTTCCAAAGTTTTCTTGACGAAAAACGTGTTGGTCTAAAAATACCAGAGAACGTAATTAAGAAGCGTTCTAAATTTGCATTTCGGAGTTTTTGAAAAAAATATAATGGCTACCTTTGTAATCACTCGGTGGATAGAATTTTTCGAAAGCAAGTAAGAGTTGCTGCAGTATTGTTCGAAAAATACGATCAGCGTTGCCGGAACGTCTAACGAGGTCACTTTTACGAGATGTTTCGATATTTCCATATTTCGTTTCTTCGACCGAAACGCTGATATCTTCGCCGGTACCAATTTTAAAAAGTTCTTGTGGTCTGTGTTGTAATATTTATGAAAAAACCCTTGATTCGTTTTTCAATGCCGGGTTTTTAATCTTTTGTTATCTGCAATTCAAAATGCCCGCCAAATCGGTCATATTTTGCTGCCATGCGTGTGAAAAAAATTCCAATATATGTATTTTTTTAATTAAAACAACAGTATGACAATAATTGACTTTGTCCGACGGTCCCGAGGACTAGTACGGTACTGGAATTTTCCTCCTCACTTTCGTACCTTCCAGAATTAGAATGTCTCTCGACTGTAACGGCATTTTACGTTTACTGGGTATTTTATATACGGATATTTTTAGTCGCCTATGTTTGGGGTATCTGATTAGTAATTTTTGTTTTCGCGTTACAACGATACCGGGTGTTTCGGAAAACGCGAGTCGCAAAATAAGTCAATTAAAAAACCAGCGGCGCCGCTGTTCAGTTTTCAACGAAACATGCGGCGCCCGTGAAACACCCTGTATACGAACGCTAGTGCAATACGTAGTCGTAATATATAATTATAATATTTTATTCGGTGATACGCAATTAAGTGCAATATATATATTAAATATTAGGCGTAAGTTGTTATCTAACTGTGTAATTTTACGTATACAGATACAGGGTGTTCGGACATGGAGTTCGCAAACTCAGAGGAAATATTCAACGTGCTAAGATAATGGCATTAATATCGTATATTCGTATAATCGACTTTTTTATTCTCGACCCGGATACCCCGTACATCTAATTTACTGAAAGGATATCGTGATATGAATTTTTGAAGTGAAAATTTTTCAAAACAGTATGCTACAAATTAAAAAATTTTAAAACAAGTCGATGCTATAACGCGTTTAATTTAAGTGACACGAATACCTTCAACATTTCCTGAAATAAAAAATTATTAATGATATTCGGGAATTAAACAGTATACAACGTTAAATACAATTCATTTTCAAAATACCCACCGTTCATTTCTAAACATTTTCTTATAAATTTTGAAAAAATAACACGACAAAATACGTGTAACCTATTTCTATTATTTTTTGTCGTAGATCATTGATATCTGCTATGGGTGTTTCATACACTAAATACTTTAAGTGCTCCCAAAAAAGAAGTCCATCGGATTAAGGTCTGGTGAGCGAAGTGGCCTAGCTAGAGGTCCGCCCCGACCTATCGCCATCTTGCATTAACATGTTTTGTCTGCACTGCAAGGGTACATCTTCAAGCAAAAGTGGTGGTTCCTCTTGGAGGAATTACAAAATACATTTCCTCATGAGGTGAGGTGCTATAAGATTATCGCCTATAATCCCTGCCCATACATTTAAAGAAAACCAACGCCGATGTTGGCTTCTCATGTTTCACTCTCAATTGCCCATCACCCTTGTACAGTGCTTAAACCCTTTCATGAAAGTGCCGAATATCAATTTAATTCAAAACTTCCCAAGCAATTCTTTCTGCATTCTGCATTTCCCTTTGCTCTTCAGTAGCAACAATGCATATCGCGATGATGATGATAAAATTCAAGTCGTGAATCAAAAATCGATAACGCTTATCGACTTAAAACGAGAGCAACAATTTTTGAAGATTTGTGATTCTGCTTCTGTTCTATTTTGCAATATCAGTCCAAATAATTAAAATGCAGGCAAAATTAAAAAAATATTCCAGAAAAAGCGCCCTCTGGTGACAGATTTATGAAACGAATACCAGCCAAATTAAGTCCCCTGCGTTAAAAATAAAATTAAAAAAAAATACGACTTCGAATGTGTGTTACATGACGTACTAACATTATTTTGCCGTTTTACCTCCAATTTTCCGAATTCATTTTCAGAACACCCTGTATATATTAATTTATTTTCTATATAATTTATTCCTTGGCGTTGTTTATCGAGAAAAAGAGAAAACTTGTTCCTCGCCGTTTGTTTATATATATTTTTTATATTATTATTATTTGATATCCATGTTTGAGAATGTATTTTTTTTAAATAAACGTTTCGAGAGAAATTGCTACTTATTTTCCGTCCCGCTCGCGATATCCGGTACGAACATTGTAAATCTTTGGGCACATTCCGCTACTATTATGCGCTGTACAGTTACCGAAGTGCCCCGCAGGCGAGACAGTATGTGGAGCATTGCTCAAAGTGCAAAAATTCGCGGACGGAAAACAAAACGACTGTTTCAGTGCCATTCGCATTTTTAAGCCCCGTATTATTTACGGCCCGCCAGAGGTCGCGCCTGCGCGGATTCTGTTACGCCAGCCTCAAAGTGGTTGTGTGCCCTCCGAAGTTCCTAACCGACCCATTTTTTAACTATGTCTTATTAGCGGTTTAAAAATGTTCTCGCTTGGGAATGGCCCAATGCTTGGAAATGATTTGATTGCGAAAAGATTTATTGGGTTTTCCATTTGTTACCCATTCCTCTTCTGTTACGACGTGCTGGATAGCAGCAATACTCTGATATCGCTTCCTCAATAGCTAGAGGTAAAGTCTGTACATAGATATAAGAAAGTGACTAACTAATGCGAATTAAGGAAAGACCCGGGTAAGCTGCAAGAATGAAATATGGCCGAACAGGTCCGTACTTTGCTAAGAATTTAATTATTTGGGGTTTTGTTAGGAAAGATACTAAACAATATTTATTTATGTATGTATTTATGTTTCAATCTAAAATAAAATTACACATTATTTTTATTACCTAGTTAAATTACTTAATATATCAGTATCACTATCGCTATCATCGCCTGTTCTAATTATTATTTGTTCTATACTATTTGCAATATGGATATACGATTGTTCTACTTCTTCTATATGTTTAAGAGAATTTGCACAACTTTGTGGAGGGATGTTCTTCCGTTTCTATAAGTTTGAGGACATTGGAGTTAACACGGGGAAAAACATTGTTACGACGAATGGCAGATTTCAGTTGGTGCCAAACATGTTCAATGGTAAGGTGGAAGCCTTAAAACTGTATGCCCTAGATTTTTTGCATAATTATTACAGACTTTTATCTTTTGTAGGTTCAAGCTTTGTAGAACCTCAATTAATTGCGTTTTGTTATAATCTTCGTAAAAATAAATGTTGTTATTATACATGTAGTTTTGGATTGTTGCTTTTGTATCACATGAGGAAGGGGTTTTAGTCAACTGTCTACTGTGATCCCTTGCACTGTCCATTACAATGACGCTTTAAACCAACTTCCAAATAAATCAGAGGTGGTGTCTTCATGGTAATCCAGAGAAGAATCTTTAGTATTTTTCGCAGACAGAGAAAGTCCATTTGGAATCTTTAGAGCCAGCATGCAAAATAGTTTTTCTTTTAGCTTTTTTTGATGGCGCGTTTGTTTTACACTTATCAGGTGTATATAGTAGCAGGTAGTTAGTAAATATTACATTTGATAAAGACTCGGTGTTGTCGAAACAATTGTCATGTCAAATATATAATTTCGTGGAAATCTGAACTTTAGTTCTTATTTATTTTGATAAATTCATTTTCATCAAGTAAAATCCGCCTCAGTTCAATGCCTGCATAAATGGCGCAAAACCAAATAAGATTTTTTCACGAACAAAGATACATGTTCCACGAATGTAAGTCTACAATCAAATATAACTCCAAGGTTTTTATTACAATTCACAATTTTTAAATGTTCACCGTTAACACATTTGGGATACTTGTTCAAATTTAGGTTTAGGAGAAAAGAACTTACACTGCATTATAATTTAGGATTGAAGGAGTAAAATAACTGAGTGTCATCAGCAAATGAATGCAAAGGATGCGAAGGATGTATAAATAACAGAAATGTAAATTAAGAATAATATAGGTCCAAGGATGGAACCTTGCGGTACACCTGATGAGACAGGGACAAATTCGGAACTTACATTGTCGAGGGCAACTCTCTGATATCTGTTACCTAAGTAAGTAACCGTAAGCCGTAGTAACTCAACTTGGCGCACATAAGTTTCTGGTCAAGCCGATCGAAGGCTTTAGAGTAATATAAAGATATAAGTGCAGTCGCGAGACCATTATCTAAGGAACTGATAATGTGATCGTTGATCTGTAAAAGTAGACTAATAGTACTAAAACTTTTACGAAATCCAGATTGACTGTTAGCGACAATATGATTAGAAATAACTTAATCATAAATTTGTACAAAACTTTTGATAAGGTTGGAAGAATACTGATTGGATGAAGGGCGGAGAACTGGCTGGGATTGTTACTTTTTGCCAATGGTGTGATCAAAGCAAACTTCATAATACTAGGAAAATAGCCAACTTTCAAACAGCAAGTAATAATATGGCGCGGTAATATGGAGGGTCATCCGAAGCATTCTCGCAGGTACACAATCAACAAAAGCGTGGCTTTAATTGAGTCGATAGTTGCGAGTTTAAATCCAAAAGAGGTTACGAGTTTTCGAATAGGTCTTCGCAAGTTAGTCAGAAAATACTGTTAAAGATGTTCTACAAGTTTGAACAGCTCCAATTAGCGACTGATGACCAATAAATTTGCGTATTTAATACAACTTATTGTCCAAAGCTCTCTTCGTTTAATCGTGTCAACCACGTTTTTTTTTATAATATCCACGAAAGAGTTAAGATACTTTTATTGATTAAACTAGAGCTGGGGGTTTCATTTCTAATTCGTTTAGCGACAAATATGAAACGGGGAAGACTGTTGTGGCGTGTCCCGCACAAATTATAGCTCAAAGCTCGCTCTATCTGGTATTGGAAACACGAATTTTTAATTCAACTCACAAAAGAAGTTACGATTTTTCAAATACGCATTCGCAAGCGAGTCAGAAAATCTAACCGTTAGAACTCGTCTTCAAGTTTGAGCAGCTCGAGTTAGTGATCGATGACGAATTAATTGCCGTATTTAACAAAATAAATAAGAATTAAAAGTTCAGATTTTCACGAAATTATATATTTTGACATGACAATTGTTTCGACAACACCGTGTCTTTATCACATTTGATAATGGATTTTCATCAAGTAAAAGCCACCTCAGTTCAATGCCGTATTTAACGCGACTTATTGTCCAGAGCTCTCTTTGTTCAATGAGGACCACCACATTATTGTTATTAGATTCACGGAGGAATTAAGAATCTTTTATTGATTTAACTAGAAATGAGAATGCGGTGAGCGATGAATAGCAAAAAGAAAGTTACGATGATTTTTTCTATTAAATTAATTAAGTTATGGTCTGTTCATAGATATAAGAAAGTGACCAATTGCTATTGAATGGGATTATCCAAGGGTGGTCTTTAACATACAATGCAACAAGATTATTACCTAAAGTTTCGGAATTTAAATTCAGGTAAAATTGTGGTCACATTGACGAAAATTCCAACATCAATTGTATGGAAAATTGTGAATAATCCCATTTCAGCGAGGAAAAAAAAAGCGATGCTGACATTTTCTCGAGTGTAGATGAAAGTGATCAACATATAATACGGCGTAAAATTTACCAGTTATACTATTATAATATAGAATGTAGTTATAATATAGAACAAATAATAATTAGAACAGGCGATGATAGCGATATTGATACTGATATATTTTGTGAATAATTTTAAGTAATTTAAGTAAGTAATAAAAATAATTTGTAATTTTATTTTAGATTTAAACATAAATACATACATAAATAAATAAATATTGTTTAATATCTTTCCTAACAAAACACCAAATAATTAAATTCTAAGCAAAGTACTTGACGTACCTTGGCTTTAGTGTTTAAAATTAATATTATAACTACTTTCCGCTGGTTGTTGGCAAAGGGCGTTATTGAAAGTGGCTGGTGTTTTCGAATTTATTGCTGAGAAACTGATTAGTAAAACTGCGTTTTCCAAAAATGAGAACATTCTGATTATCAATGTGTTCAAAGCTCTTCGCAACCAATACTCAACATACGGAGTTACAGTACAGTAGTTGAGGAGTACAGGAAAAAGAATATTTGGACAAATGGACTTTCATGTAATACAAGCGCCGTCGGGAAAAGGTAAATGATCTGGTAGCAAAAATGGATTTGTCGGTTGCGGCCTACTGACATTTGGATCGGAATGTACTGGAGACCATCATAAAAACATAGATGTTGATGTTTTTGTTGGTGTTTCTATTATAGGCCCGGATAACGCCACCTGCCAATGAAGAACGTGCGAAAAAATACATACAAATCATTTATTCGCTTACTTTAAAAAAGAAGCGATTTCAGAACGATGCCGTAAAAAAACGAGCTACTGGAGAATATAAATTTGAATACACTTCGGAATAAACGTACGAAATTTGTTGTTGACGGAATTCCACTGCAAATTAAACCCCATGGAATTGGTAAGGGCGCAAGTAAAAGAGTTTGTAGCAAGCCATACCACAACTTTTTTTGTGAATTGTAATAAAAACCTTGGAGTTATATTTGATTGTAGACTTACATTCGTGGAACATGTATCTTTGTTGGTGAAAAAGTCTTATTTGGTTTTGCGCCATTTATACAGGCATTGAACTGAGGTGGATTTTACTTGATGAAAATGAATTTATCAAAATAAATAAGAACTAAAGTTCAGATGTCCACGAAATTATATATTTGACGTGACAATTGTTTAGACAACACCGTGTAATGTAATATTTACTAACTACCTGCTACTATATACACCTGATAAGTGTAAAACAAACGCGCCATCAAAAAAAGCTAAAAGAAAAACTATTTTGCATGCTGGCTCTAAAGATTCCAAATGGACTTTCTCTGTCTGCGAAAAATACTAAAGATTCTTCTCTGGATTGCCATGAAGACACCACCGCCGATTTATTTGGAAGTTGGTTTAAAGCGTCATTGTAATGGACAGTGCAAGT